GTGTCAACGAGTAAAAAAGATGGAAGTCGTACAAGTTGCTCAGTATGAAAGTGATATATCAGACAAAGAGGTTGTGGAAGAGAATAATGGAATAAATGGAAATGAAAGAATTCCAAAGAAAAAGAAATTAAAAAAATGTTGGATTAAAGAAGGTACATTTGATAATGCTGGCGAAGCAGAAGCATCAATTAAAGATAAATGGTCAAAGCACTATACAAATCATACAGAAAATGGAAGAATGGTTTATTGTAGATGCAACAAAGCCAAACTTCGTGGATTTCAATGCAGTCTAAGTATTTATCTGCTATATCATGCAGACAATGATAAAGTTACCATTTATAAAAATGAACCTGAGCACGATCATCATGTTGACAAAGTTCGTGGTATTGATGAAAATGTTAAAAAGTGCATAGAAGAATTATATAATGATGGTATAATGAAGCCAAAACAAATTATTCGACCACTTCAAGAAAGAAAAGTAAAGATGCCAACGTATACACAGCTGAACAATTATCTTGTATATTATAAAAAAAAGAAATGTGGTTCACATAAAATTAGCTTAGGTGAATTAGACCAATGGTGTAAAAAAAATCTAAATATACCAACTGATGAAACTGAAGCTTCTGTTGTATCTTACAAAATATTATATGATAATGAAGAATATGAAGATGATGAAGATGTAGAAGAAAATGATGGCAATCAATTTCGTATATTTATATTATCCTTATGTTTGCTCAACAGTATATCTATGTCTGTTTTTCTTATTTATTCAACTTTATTTTTCTTGTACTAATTTATAATTTATACGAGCAAAACTTATTTTTCTACTGGTCAAATATATTTTGTACTGATCACATTTCTATTTTTTACTGATCAAGTTTATCTTTTTTTACTGGTAATTATATATAATAAACTGATCATCTTAAAATTAATTACTGATCATTTTAGTACTGATCATTCAATATTTATACTGATCATTCATATTTTTTTTTACTGATCATTTCATTACTTTTACTGATCATAAATCAATATCCCCTTTATTATTTATATCTTCAGAGACAAATAAATGATATTATCCTTTAGAATGTTACTATTTAAAAGAAGAGAAATTAAAAATTAACAATCGTTCAAGATTAAACAATCGTGAAATAAATTCGAAGTTCGAACTAGGTTTAAATTAATTTAATATTACTTACTAGTTGTCTTAATTGATTGATAGAAGTGCTGAAATTTTATCACTTGTTGAGCAGTATCATTCAAAAGATCTTAAATCATGTGTTAAATTTATTGCTAATGGAAGTCTTTAAGTCGTTTGAATGATATAAACTTATAAATATTAACAAGTGATTGTGATTCGTGACATTTTTCTTTAAATTAGCCAACTTAGTTTTGTAGTTTTGTATTTCTATTAACTTTTTATGTACTTGTATTTTTATCAGTTGTTAATCATCGTGTAGTTTTAATTTTAAAATCTTGGAAGTTCTTAACATATTTGTTCTTCATGTCGCTGTGTAGCTTTCATTATAATTATTGTTATATTTGAGTCTTAAACATAGTTAAAGTTATAATTAGTTTTTAAGTATGATTTGAATTGTTTTAATATTTGTGTTTTTGTAATCCAGAGTCCTGATGAGTGTTTTATTATTTCAATAAAATAAACATGAAACGCGTAGGCGAAATTAAACTCTGCATTTTGTTTTTATAATTTGATAAAGCATGAATATTCAATTTGTCGAAATAAATACGACTACATCGATTGCTGAAAAGCAAGAGTTGAGACTAGCAGATTGATTTGTTTTACATTTGTGATACCTGATAAGTGCTCTCAGCAGGGACGAAACTAGTCATGTCAGAATTCTCTGTATTACTCATCATAAATGATTAGGACCAACTCAGTTAGATGATATGCAGATTGAAAAAGTACATATAAATTTTGTTCACACTTTATAATGTTTATCTATGCATAACGAAGACAGAATATTAAAAAAGAGTAGAAAAGAAATAAGAGAAAACAAAACAATCAAGTTAAGTGGAGTTTTCTTTCTGATAATGACAACACAAAAGGAAGTATAGGTATATTCTGATTGCCTATTTCATTTCGAAATGAGGAAAAATTCGAACTTCAATACCTCTCGATAAGAAAACAAGATGAATCTAAATTGGATCGGGTAGTTAGAGAGAAAACACTTGCATGTATATGATGAGAACATGAGAAAAGCCAGAGGAAAGGAAAAAATAAATCCAAGAGCGCATTCTGAACCTATTCGATATACTTATATGAAGTGAGGAAGAAGCACACGGAGGCAAAGTCTGCGACAGCTACGGGCAATTATCAGCCATATAAATTTTTGTCGTTGATGAATTGGTTTGTTCGCTTTCTTCATCATCCCATAATCGAGGATCGTCACAGTCACGATAATTATTTAGATTCTGCACATAAACACGAAGTAAATTACGGCTAAGACTATCATATGTAGAATAAGCTTCAGGATTGCTCTTTAGTCCTTGTCTAATTGCTCGTTCACATTGAATAATTTGAGTTATATTAAAATAGATGAGCATTGGATGGAGGCCATCAACACACCATTTTTTAGTGTAATTATATAGTTGTACGACGAAAATATATTTGTCTGCTATATTACGAAGCAGACGACCATCACAAACTGGAACAACTCCATGTGTTGGATCAAATCATTTTAAGCTCCCTTGGCATTGGCTTGAAAGATGATTTTTATTATTCTGAATGAATGCATGACAATCTGCTGCTCCTACCATATATCGATGCATATTTCTAATATCAAACAAATAACTTCTCTGCAAAGGGCAACAAATCCATTTAGTTTTAAGTTCATTATAATATTTACGATAGGTGTCACGTGAGTTAAACAAAGAACGGTATGGTTCAAGTGTCTGTCGAATTCGACGCATGTCCGTCTTTATTTTAGTCCTTGTCATTATTTTCTGTTGATCGATTGAGTTGTTCGTTGAATAAGCGAATGGTAACTTACCATCGGAACATATGAAAAAGCTAACAAATGCTATAATGATTGAAACACAACCATATGATGTCATTGTAATCCGCAGATGGAAAAATGAGAAGAAACAATAATAGATATGTTGCCCTGTGGGATACGATAGTAGGTAAAGAGTTAGCGACAAATATTATCTATATATACACATTCATATATATATATACAAATGATTGTATTGTCGGTTCTCTTGAAGCATATAATAGAACAGAAAAGAATATATAAATAGTTAACTGGAGTGGGCGATATTTTCTTCTTGGTTCTGTGCTAGAAATATTTTTTTTTCCTTCTCTTCTGTTTCCGGCACATAACTGTGTTAACATCAATGGATCTCACTTGTTGATACTAACTTGGTAGTATTTTTTTGTTTAATCTGTCATTAGTTTGATGTTCTTTTTTAATCTACTTCTTTTTTCTACATAAATAGCAAACGATAATCAAACATAATTTTCTTTTTTTTTCTCTTTACAGTCAGAGTAGCAGAAAGTTGGAAATCGCAACACTTTCTATTTTGACAAGAATTGTCGACTTATTAGGAGCTCCCATCCTACGTCTTTCATCTGTGTACAGAAGACTCATCTTAAAAAAAGGAGAAAATAATTTTAATCAGAATTTTTCGATTTCTAATCTATTTCAATCGGTTATTTTGGTTGTAATCGATTTTCATTGCAATCATAAAAAAGGTACTATTATCGAGTTTTCACTTGAAAACTCAAATTTTTGATTAGTTTTTCGAACTTGTCACTACCAGTAAATGATAAGTATAACGCTACTTGACTCTTCACACGTATGCTATGCTCTGAAATGTGATATCAATTAATACTTATTCACTTTTTGGTGATCGCGATTAAGGTTCATTAGAATCAAAGAATCAATTAGAATCGGTTGAAAATACCATAATCGATCACAAACGATTGAATCAAATAGCTATTCGCAATCCAGTAAAAATCACTTCAAATTGATAAAACATCAGTTACAAATTTAGATTGGATTTTTTTGCATTTTTTACACAGAAAGCGCTGATAAATATATCCACACATTAACCCTTATATATATGACCTTATGGCTATATTCTTACACTTACATTGTAATTAATAAATATTTAAAGATGTGACTCTGTGATTATATCCTTCCATCTGCACGCGCATCTATAAATATAGTATCTTACTTATTAGACGCACAGTAGAACGATGTATTTTGAGCAATAATATTATGTAGTACGATGCGAATCAACACTTTTTATTCTTTTCTCAGAATCACTACAGATCGTTGACATTAAAGACATCAAATATGATAAAAAAACAACGATTATTTTTTAAAACCGTTTATAGTCGGCGTATATGATGTCTTACGATATTATCCAAGTATGTTTTATAGTCTTCGCATTTCTATGCTGGTCCTTTGTTAGTCTGTGGACTAATACACCCTGATTTATTCCTTCTCACTAAAAAGCTGTTAGCGCAATCCCTTGCGGGATTAAAAATGTGAAACACGATGTACCTGCTGTTGCCAATCTTATAAAAATTGTTCTTTTTTATGCATATTGGTGTACATTTCTTCATCGTGGCTTACTTTACATTATAGAACTGAAACAGGATAATACCTCATATATGTTCCAATCATGTGTTAGTTATGCATTATCTCTGATGCTTCCTTGAACTCTTCTTTCACAGTCTATGATGATCCCTGGAGCTTGTCTGTCACGGTCTGTGATGGGTCCGAAGGTTCTCTGTCACGGTCTGTGATGGTCTCTGGGGTTGTCTGTCACAG